TGGTACTTCTAAGAGTTTCTATGCACAGGTAGAGGAGTTGTGCCATCTTACGACAAGATCGGAACATTTTAATTTCAATAAAGGAGTTAAAAAGCTGACAGTCCCAGTTTGGGAACTAAACTTACTACCAGTCAATTGAGAGTTATAGCAACCCTATAGGAAAATGGAACTTCTCCTGTGGATTTCTGAGACTGCCAATCATTAGGGGTATAGAAAGCCTCCTCTTTCCCTTGCAGGATTGCTGATGGGCTCTAATGGCTAACCTTGCAGTTAACAGTCACATACATAACCCACCACACCATCAGGGCTCCTTATCTATTATACAGGAACTCTTATGTCTAGGCCCCTTTTAACATAACAAACTGGAAGTACCTGCTATTTAGTTCCTAATACAAGTGAAGTGACCCGGAGAAAAGTCCAAGTTCATGTAATTTGTACTGTCCAATTATATCTTTGGATCAATGGACCCCATGTGAAGAATAACTTGACCAAAATATTTAGTACAACACAATCTAAATAAAACCATGTGCACTTCCTCTATCACAGGGTAGCTAACACTACTTTAAACTATCCTGATATTGTATGGACAAGCAAAGTGAAGATGGTATACAGTATGCATTGTGTAGCTCAAAACTAAGTGGAGAGGGGAAAACTGGTGCCATTTTTTAATCAGCAGGTCAAATATACCCAGGAACAAGTCTAACATTTGAGTCACCAAAATGTGGGTAGGCCAGTGCCATTATAATTAATGTGTTGTACTTGAGTGTACAGTACCAAATTATTTCTTAATGCTAGAAATTATCCTTCTTTCAATTAAGTCAAATGAAAAATTATTGGTGAAGAATGTACTAAAATAATTAGAATATATACACACACTCGTCATAATGAAGAAAATAAATGTAAGGGATTAACTCCGGGAAGTAGTGTTGGTAAATACAGCAGCTCTGGCCAATCATCAGAAAGAGACCAAACTGTCAAGATCACTAGGTAGAGTTTGGAAGCTCAATTCCCTCTGAGAATGCTAGGAATCAGATCTTCTGAGTGGAGTAAAATCGGAATGTAAGTTGCACAATTTAACTGCCAGGAAGGAGCCATAAATTAGCATGGTTTATCATTTAAGCCTGCGTCCTTGGAAAATAACACCGTGACTGTAATTATGTAATGGAATTCAGCAGACACTTGTGGAACAAGAGTCATGACCAATGTTTGGTTGCACCCCCCCACCCTAGGGTCGTATTTTGGGGTGGCAGAATAAAAGTACTCTTCTTTGCTCAATTATAAATTATAGTCCCCAAGCCACCATATTATAAACTACAGCTCAGGACACTTTCCCTCCCTAAAATGCATTTTTATTGAAGATCATCAGTCACTTTTCTGCTTACTCTGAGCAAGGCGAGAGCTTCCTATAATTTATCCATCAGAATGGCTGTGCAATGTGCAAACGCAGAGATTTCCTTATGTACTCTAACTTCCAAATCATTTGTTAAAATGGTAAGTCAGGAGGCTAGGGCCCGGGTTCATCGCCTGCAGGATTCATTCCATTAGTCACCTGCTGTTCTTACTGGGTTTCCTGTTGAAACATTTCAAAATATTTTCTCCTCATACATTTGTCTGCAAATTAAATGTTTCCTTTTCAAAGGGTATTGCAAATTTAGGATAAAATGATATTGGGGAAATCTTTATATCATTGATTTTACACGACTTTTCTCAAGTTTCTTAAAAACTATGCTTTAATAAATGCAAGGAGCTTCAAAAGGTTGATAAAACCTTCCATTATCTTTTAATTCCATTTCCCATCAACTTTTTTGAAACTCTCTTGTACAAAAAGAGCCCTGAAGTGTTGTGGGTTACACACTGGGCTGCTCACTTTAAAGGCTGTCATTCAAACCCGCCGGCCGCTCCATGGAAGAAAGCGGAGTCCGTCTGCTCTCGTGAAGATTTACAGCCTCAGCATCCTTATCTAGGGTCACTATGAGTCAGAATCTGCTCCGCAGTAGTAGGTTTGCACAACAAACTAAGGAAACATTACCAATATACTAATAGGGATCATTCCTGCTTGATAATATTCCAGTACATGCGTCTTCATTATTTTTATATTTATTCAGTCAAGTTTACATAATATGCACATTTTAAAGTATTAATGGAAAAGATGATAAACTTTTAAAATATCTAGTTGTCAAACAAACTGCACCAAATAAAGAACAGGTTTGGCAGCATCCATATAGTTTACAATGTGTGGTAGTTACCTACTCTGGTGTCAATTTGGAACTTGAGAGAATTAAGAGTGAAGGGGTAGAGTCTAGTCTGTCAATCGGATCATAGTCAATGAGACCTCTGCGTGGGCATGGACTTCTCCTGAGAATTCTGGGAAATCCTGTTTTTCCTCCTTGGAGGTGGGAGACACATTCTCTCTCTGCTCATTCCCCGGGAGACATTGCAGCCACATGGAGACCCCTGCCAGCACGGAGATGCTTACAACGCCACTAGATCCAAAGACTTTCTACCCACTAGCCTCTGATGGTCCTGCAATTGGTGTCATTGCATGTGCTGTGTGAGTCTGAAGAGGACTTTATAGATATGTATTGGACATATGGGCTAATATCAGACTTATAGGCTTGGACTGGACTGGGTTGGGATGCTTTTTTTTT